CTTTCGATAAATTCTATGAAAGTATATTGGTATTGGCAGATCTTGAGTTACTATGTAAATACCTGGTCTAAGTGGATATGTTTTTACGACCAAAGAGTGTGTTGCGGCGTCAAATAATTCTGGTATAGCGTTATATTTCCTCCATAAATTCCAATCTATACCTGATTAATTACAGCACAGCAAGATCAATCATACTCACAAAATAGATGTGATTTGATAGCGCCTTGGATATCTCCTGCCAATACTTGCAGGCCCTCTAGGCAACGAAAGACACTTTCTACTTAGACGTAGGGGCCCAAGTTCTCGATGACCTTAAACGCCGTGCCCGCGTGGATTGCGGTCTTGCAACCATCGAGGACATACTGGAGGACAGGTTGGAAGATCGAATGGAGAGCTTTGTGCTCTCCGAGACGCTCAAATATCTATTCCTGCTCTTTGATGAGCATAACCCTCTGGCAACCACTGACTCAAACATTATTTTTACAACCGAAGGTCACATACTAACCCTCAATTCTACACATATCCGACCAATGTCACCAACTAGACGATCTTCCAGACAGGTTGGGATGAAATACTTCGCCTGCCCGATTCATACTAACATATTATTACAGTACGAGAACCTAACTTGTCCAGCGATTGAAGAATCCGCGATATATCCTGGTGGATTAAATCCACCTCCACTTAGCCACGGTATACGTAGTCGAGTAGACTACGATTTTGCGCGCACTTTGGTTGGACTCCCTCAAGATAGTGAAGCTGCTAAGCAGGATGCCTTTTGGTCGACACCATATGGCGTCTGCGAAAAACCAAAGATGGAGGTCTTTGTAAGGAAACAAACCACTAGCATTCAAACGATCTAATACAGCTCTATAGTCCTATGAATTCCTCTTGAATAGGTTAGGGTTCCAATCAAAGGAGGACGACGACGTTGCCTCCTTGAAGAAGAAACTCGTACCTTGGAGAGGGGGGGTGTTGGTTATGGAGACAATGGGCCTACGAGTCGCTGTAAAGAGTAGATTTGATGGTCGTGGATATGACATCACCAAAAGTGGGTTGGCTCATTCATTTCGTCTGATATCTCATGCTGAATGGAATCGCAGTTGGACATCTGCAGGTCCGCCAAGGTGAAAAGGTCTTCTTCAACGACACTCTCTTGTTCGGAGTAGATGCGGCAGAAGCGTCTAAGTCACATCCCAGAGCCCGATCCGTCCCTCTCAGCTTTCGCACTCTCCGACCTTCCAGTCCGATGGTATATGACAATGCAGAGAAACCGGAAGATCTACTTCAAGTGACCAGCGAATTTATCGTTGAGGCATCGACTGCAGAATTTGGGATCGATATTGACAAAGCAAGGTGGAAATCGTTGGAGGAATCATCTGCCGATAGCTTTGGACTTGCAGGTGCCAACCTGATTCGCATCCCAGAAAATCCCTTGGGATGCTCCCCTTACAACCAAAATATCCATAATGTCACCAACAAAATGATCTATGTGGAGCGCGGCGAGTGCCTCTTCATTGAAAAACTGGCCCATGCTCGTAACGCAGGAGCAATGGGTGTCATAGTCTGGCATGAAGCCGAAGATCTCATTCGACCAACAGCAGAAACTAATGACCTTCATGCCTATGGCAAGGAAGTAGAGGGAGGGGTCTTATTAGTTGTCCCAGGAAGTGCCCATTCGGTCATCGCAAGCCGTCTCTCTCTTGCAGAGCAAGACGCTGCTAATAATATTGTTACGGTCAACTTGGAGAAGGAATGGCCAGATGAACTGGCTGACAGTCGAGTATCTCTTAAACCCGAGCCGTCGAAGACAAAGCCAACTCCAGGGAGAATTCTATATATCAATGGACACGCTATGATCAATACAGAGATTATGTTTTGATCTAAATTCTCCATCTATGGCGCAATCCTACCAGGGTCACGAGGGAAGGGAGCTGCCAATCTGATATTCGGCAGGTTTAGGAAGAATTGCACGATACGATCGAGACCTGAGTGATGTCAGCAGCTGCAACATTAGGAAACTGGCTCCTTACCGAGACCTGCTCCAGCATGTGGTGGTGCGCCATACTCAAAGGCATTGACGTAATCTTTCATGATGTTCGGATCAATTGGAGGGTCGACTAGTGACATTCGATGTTTCAAAAGCTCCGGATCGTGCACACGTTGGGCACCAGAAAGGATCTCTTGCCCCCGCATGAAGAAATCGTAGCTATTAGAGTACCTCTGTCAATGAAATAGTGTCAGTGCACTGTAATGAGGAGCAATCTAAGCCACTTACGTCGTCATGAGGATCTGGCATTGTATAAAATGGTCGAATCTTCGAAGGGAATTTGTCGAGAACGAAGAAGTCCGTGTTGTATCTTTCCTTAACCAATCTACCCAAGGTCTTTTCGTCTTCCGTACTGAAAAATTCCAGTGAGTTACGGTAAAGCAACAGTATATAGACTCATATTTACCTAAGATCTTCCAATTCATCCAACTCACGCCCGGCTTCCTTAAGCATCTTAATGCCTTCGGAAAATCGTAACCGGACTGCCTTTTCGGGTACAATAAATGGCTCTGATGGCCATTGCTTTCTCACCCACTCGATTTCGCCACCCGGCTTTCCATACCTCTCATTTAGACCGTGGAAGATGAACAAGAGCATGTCTTCGAGGAGGGAGACTACTTCGTGGTAATGATGCTCGATCGCCATCTCTATATCCAATCCTGTAAACTCGGTCATATGTCGCGGTCCCCAAGAGTTTTCCGCTCTGAAGACAGGTCCAATCTCATACATCCTGTCGAAGTCTCCGGCCACAATCATTTGTTTCGCCAGCTGTGGTGACTGAGCAAGAAATGCGGGTCTATTGAAGTAATCCACTCTGAACACACTCGCGCCCGATTCTGTCATTGCACCTTGAAGTTTGGGAGTCTCGAATTCCACGAAACCTCGAGCGTCTAAGTACTCTCGGAAGAGATGTTTGACTCCTGAACGAATGCGGAATAGGGCTTGGTTGGTGGCTGTACGTAGATCAATTACACGATTGTTCAGTCGAGTATCGAGGTTCACTGAAGCTAGCTTCGTTTCCTCCTGTGCTATCTTTGAGTTACGCAGATTTTGAGGAGGTCGTAAAGAACACTCACAGAGGCATTTTCATCGGGAGGGGGCTGAGAGGCTGCTGGAATCTGAATAGGGAGAGGATTGACACTGACTTCAGTCCACATCTATAAAGACTTTGGGTGAGTCGCGATCAAAAATTGTGTTATAAGCTGACCTTGCTTATGTGAACCTCGAAATTCTTGATGGTAGTCGCTTCGACCTCCTTTTCGACGGGACATACGACACCTTCAACCCGGACAATTGATTCCAGCGTGATAGATGAACAAAACTTCATCATTTGTTTCGACACCTGAGAAGAACTTCAGTAGACGGAAGACTTGGTTTGCTATAATCTCACCGGAGCTCCCTCCTTTTTGCCTTCGTTGAGTTCCATAAGTCCTTGAATGCTCACGAGACTTTGTCTGAGGTCACAGAAAAGCAGATTATTGCCGTGCTGCCGACTGTTGGCCAGTCTTGCATGAAAGCGGAGAGATATTGCAGGCTCCGCGTTTGCGATGGCAGATCATTCCTT